TAAATTTAAAATGGCAATTATACATAACAATATTGCTTAAATTTAAGAACATAAAGAATAAAGGCAAAGAAAATAAATTTGCAGTTATTACAGCCAAATATGCTAGATATCCAAACATGCCCTTACCACTGTCAACTTACTTTCACTTTTTTTTTTTTTTTTTTTTCCAAATATAGGGCTCTCAAATAGTTCCAGACTTATTTATACACCTTTCACCAACTTTTTTGTAACAGTCCCAATGCTATAGACCCTTTTTTACTTTTATGACGTTTGATAACACCATCTTGCCAGTGTCACATTGTGTAATCGACAGTGAACTGCATTTTGCAATCACAATCCTAAAAATCTGAAAGGATATCACCTCCCATGCAACATTTCCAGTTCATACTTATTACATGGCTTGACCATTTTCTGGCCCTATGTAATTACAGCACTTTAGCTGTGCAAATAGAAGAACTTATTGATCTACTGTATAAGGTAACCAAAGAAAGGCCTAATACTGCATTTTTATTTGAGTCCATCAGGATGAAGCAGCTAGCAGTTGTGAAAACCACCCTCAACACACTTTGAGGTCGTTTTTGGGAACGGGCTTTTTGTTTCTGCTTTTTGATAGGGCGGGCATTATGAAAACGTTTGAACAACGACCAGCGCCAAAATAGCACAAGTACTGCCAGGTCAGTAGGAAGAGTAACCTCTTTAGGAACTGAACTCACTGCCACAAAGTCACAGAATTCAGTCGCCAATTATTGCACCACACGCGGCAACACAAAGCTGCATTATGCAACTTAAGATAGTCTAAGTCAGAACTTTAATATCCGATTATTAACAAATCATACCAACTGCAGGGATAATCCTGAAACTCTCCTAAATAAATCCAAAAAGGCTGAGAAACCTATTTACAAAAGACAAAAGTCAGTAAACAGTAAAAAAAAAAAGTATATTTGGAGGTGGACACACTTGACTGCAACACTGCAGAAAACCAATGATTATGAAAATGTTAAGAGAAAAAAGGTTATCACTATTTAAGCATATCTGTATGTCACAATAACAACAGTAATTTCAGTAACTACATGTGTATGTATGTATGTATATGTTAGTGTGTTGGTGAGTGTGTGTATGTGTGTGTATGTGTGTATGCGCTTCGGTTGATGCTAAAATAACAAAGAGACAAAAAAAAATAAAAAATAAACTAACAACAAAAACAGCAATAAATAGTACCAACATTATTAGCAATAGCCAAGTCGTCGCGACCATGACTACTACTGTCCAACACCAACAATAATTACAACAACAACGGACAAAAAACAACAAAAACTGCAATCAGAGCAAAAACAACGAACTAAATTTCTCCATGATGTGATGACCGCATAGATGATCACTTATTACGATAGGCATCGTTTGAAGATTCAACTCCATTGGTTGCAAAAGTGCGGCAATTTTAAATCTTGAAAAATCCTTGAAGCACTTTTTGGTTTTATGTATGCCGCAGAGATCCACCGACGGCTGCGCTGTGGTACCATGCATTACCACAGAGTTTGTCCAGTGGCAAATGGGATTTCGGGTCAGTATGGTACGATTAACTGGACGAAGTCCTCCTAATTTATTTTGTCCCGAAAGATTTTTATCACTTCTCATGTAACGGCTCTCAGTTATCAGGTTAGCCAGAAAAAAATTGACCTCATATGCATTTCTCTAATGCACTTTATTTTTTCATCCTGTTGCCATCAGTTTTACTGTTTTAGTTTCAGACAGGTGATTGCCTGTCATAGTGAAGTAATCGTCATTCTGGATCATGAATTATTCATTTATTTACCTTCCTTTTTTTTTTTGTATTTTTGTATTTGAAAATAAGAAGGCTGTCGTCCATTTTGTTTTAATTGTTGGTAGAAGGCCGCCACTGCAGTCATTGTTTACCATTCGCTGCTAATGGGAAGTAATTTCATGTTAACTAGTTCAGGAACTATTACTACTATAATTGGTATTATTATGCCCATTATTACTTTTTTTAGTTCTTATTTCGTGTTGCATTTCCGGGCATGGTTATTTTTTTTTTCTGCGCATTTTATTGGTAACGATCCTGAATGTTGGAGGCAAAATCTAAATTTAGATTGTCTACTCTTTAATAATGCTCTACTTTTCATGTTGGAATACGAGGCGTTCTGCTTTTCAAAGATTTATCGTTTCTTGTTTAACTTTATTAATCAATAATCCATGAATGTGCCTATCAATGTGAAATGATGCTGAGTATTGAGGGATTTGGTATGCCACAGCAGGGAATAAGTTAGACGTCCAGCTCTTTGACAGTTATTGATAAGGAAAGCATAGGTTTTGAGAAGCGATTTGTCACAAAGGATAATTAAAGAAGTTGGGTGCAATCCCGTTCATCTTGGTTGTACGACATTTCGTTTCTGACTTGGGCCCGAAAATTATAGAATACTCATGTAGCTTTTAGACGTAGTTTGTGGTTATCGCTACAGATTTAACTTTTTTGTGTAGTTTTTTTTCAAAACCTGACCTTGTATGCAACGTTTTCTAGAATTAAATGTATTATGATAAAGTTAAGATACCGCGAATAAATATGTTGAAGAAGCATAGTTGCAAAGAAGTAGTTGGTAGGGTGACTGTTATTGGGAAGAGTAGAGGTACATCAGATTACTGTTGATGCAGGTGTACGTTTTCAAATCGAGTAAGAAATGAGAAATTCTTTTGAATTTGGGTTTACCCTGTGGTGCATTGAAGCTAGAATCGCGAGTTTTGGAGCAAAAGGGATGTTTTAAAGAAATATTGAGACTGTCAATTTTCTACAGGTACATGCCGTTTTAAACTATAACTAATTGGTGCGGTATTTAATTTGCAAACTTTCGTTTTCTCCATCCATATTACTCGCATGCGGCTTCTGCAAGAGTGTGATTGGATAATATTTTAGGTTTAAGGAGTCC